CATCAGGATTAGAGTTACCGTGAAGGGCGTAATCATTGCCTGTTGTTAGATCTAGGAATTATTTGCCTTGAATTTTTTGTGAATTTGTTGCCAACTAAATTTTTCATTATTAGAATTCCAAGTAACCTTAAGAAAGTTTATTTGACCATTCTGTGTGAATCGCGTCGGTACTTTTCTTGTAGTCTTTGTTGTTTGCATTTTGGTAATGTGTACTATAGATGTCTGAATGTGTATTAGTGATATGTATGGGAATGTAGAATGTGATATTTGGATCACAAGTGGAGATGTAATTAAATGTTGGAATCCTTTATCTGTGAAGACCCAGTATAGGTGGAGTGTGAGAGAAATACTTCTCTCACTTTTTTTGTGGAGACCCATTATCCACGAATGTTGGAAGAAATGTTGTAGTGATAAGAAAATTATCCTGTGGACTTAAGATTTATTGTGATTTACTAGTTAGACATAGGTTGAGTGATCGGTCTAGTGAGTATGGTAGGCGATTATAGGAGATTTGTGTTCTCAAGGTGTGAGCATCATAGAATGTGATATGATAAGTGTGATATGAGGTATTTTCATTTATACATTTGTTGCATATGTGTTTGCTGTATGTTTGATTAACTTGGTGTTAATTTGTTGTTCTGTGTGAACGTGATTTTTTGCAAAAAATCTATTTGCCCTATGTTATATTTTTATTGCATGTTTATTTGCTCTTTATTATTTACTGTTATTATCTGCTTCTACTTGAGTGTTTCTTGACCTTAGCCCCGATAAGTACATGGAGCAGGTAAATATGTGTTTCGGGTTCGAAACACGAGATAAGATCTATGATACCAATTTTATTGGTTACTTTGATTATGCAAGTATAAACTTTGTTTTTTGTTTGCTTGAGATTGATTGGGCATTAATGTGAAATTTTGTTAGGTTTTGATACTCAATAAATTCTCAGCGATGATGTTAAATCGATGTTTGATAATTTATATCGACACCTTAGTGATGGCTCGACTTGGAAACAACTTGGGGCATTAGAAACAACTTTATTGAGTTATTGTTGGGGTGTGTGCACGTGCGCAATAGAGGAGAAATGGTGGGTAGGGATTCTTGATGGTTCGTTTGAGTGTTCAACCATTGCAACGCTTTTTGTCCTCCCTCTGTGATATTGCTATCACCATCTTCATCCTTTGTAGAGGTGAAAACTAGTGGCAACCGGAGTGTTAAGCTTGTGGGTCGGAGCCTCATCGATTGGTGTTTGTTTAGTTGATTAAACTAAACCCAGATTAAGATTTCTCTTAGATTTTGACAACACAATGGACATAATATACAATCAGATCACACAATAATTTACAAGATAAAGGCTATATGCACAGCTTTACATTGCATCAGAGGGGGCCCTATACAAAATAAATTGTACTTAGCTAGCAATAATATAATTAAGCACCAACAGCTGTGGCTGATAGAATGGAATCCACATCATTTTTGGTGTGGCTAATCCTTTGATCATCCTCTTCACTAAACCATATTTCTGGAATTACTTGGACTAAATTAGGGATTGTTTCCAGTGCATAATCTGTTTCTTTGCTCTTGATTGCTTTCCCAACCTTCAAAATAGTGAAAATTACCAATTATAATTGATTAGTTAAAAACGATATGAGTAGATTTCATGAAGGTAAGGAGAAAAGCTACATGTAGGGTTTGGATCTAACTTGTCCCACAGTTCCTGGACTAGAACTTCTAGACGAAATGATTATGTTAGAACACAACTGGTGAGTCCAGATCAGCTGTTCTCAAGAAGACGTGAATATGAGAACAATAAATCTGGACTCATGTTTTAATGGTTGAAGTAGAAAGAACAAGCTCGATTACATGGACAGTGTATAATCCGTGCATTATGCAAGTAAACTACTAATTTAAGCCCAAGTTAATACAATAGATTAAATGACATAACGAAAATGAATCCCAACTTTGTTAAGTTATTCAAAGTCGTTTCCAAAGACAAACGATCAAATCTCAATATCGTGACAACGTTTATTTCTCATGAACCATGAAACAAAATT